ACACACACTTACACACACAAAACACACACACACACAACACACACACACACACACACACACACACACACACACACACATACATGCACACGCAGGCTTACAGTCAAATGCGTAATAAAAATTCATTGTTCCAGCATTCACAGTTGTATAGAAAGGTTGACTGCGCCATATCACCAGAATGATTGTCGGAACGTGATGAGCGCGCTATAAATGTAAATGTTTTTTTAGCTGTTGGGTTCTTTTTGCTTTGTTTTAGTAAGGTTTTACGTCGCTCGCAACTGCATAAGGTCATATGAGCGCTAAGGGGTGGATGTCAACATAGAAGTCCAAACGGGGAATCAGGCTTACTCTGCTCACCTCTCTAGCCTTAACAGCACAAAGTCTGCTTCGACTATCAAGGCACCACAGAAATAGCAGTTCACAAGAGAGTGACATACAAAAGAAGTAGAGGAAAAATGACAATAGTAAGGATGAAGAAAAAAACAACAACAGCAGTGCCCCTTTATGTTGTTCCAGCAGAGTATGAGTATGACATTGATAAATCAGCCCATTTACAATTCTACTATGCATAAGAACATGTTAATACCCCCCCCCCCCTTTGGGAATGGTCTAAATACACCCTCAGTCAGTAGCACCACCCAGGGAGGGGGGTTGATAAATGTCCATGGCTCAGCAGTAGGGAACGGTGGCCTTGGTTCGAATCCCTGTTGTAAAGCGCTAGAATTCTTGTTGTTTTAGTTTCACAAGTGTATAATCTGATCACCCAACAATACACCATGTTTTAGTGCGCTTTTTCCAAAAGAGACATAACTTTCTTAAATTCATACATCTAGATCTATATTATATATCTCTATATTCCGTTTCCTGTGGTTGAAACTTTGAAAAACAGACAAAAACATGCATTCCATGAAACGTGAAGACTCGTGTTTCTGATTTGCGTATAACACTGTACTGTCTACCACATACAAGACTAAACTAATCATAACTTTATGTTGACTTTAGCTACCTCCGAATTACAAAGTTCTGACATTTTTTGGTCGTTTTGAGTTACCAAGACCATGAGATCAGAAACTAACTGCTCTACCTGCTCTATCAAAATCGTAAAATTATACTGAACCGTTATCAGGATTTTCAAAGAATTGCATTCGAAAAATCTTGACATGTTGTGAAACTCAAAATTTGTTTCGTTAAATTTTTCAAAACTAGGTACTGACAAAGATAGTACAAGACAAGATGGGCCACTCAGCCTAAAAAGTGTCCGCAGGAAGTATGCTCTTTGCTTCAGATGGCGCTGCAGTCTGTTTTGAAGCTCTCTTTCGTTTTTCCAGAAGAAGAATAGGAATAGCAC